TCATTTTACGAAGAACTTGTAGTTAATAATTATGTACTTGCTTCTACTGACCTAGGTTTCGTACGGCTCTGATAACGTCATACACCATATCATAAAAGGGGAGCTTTTGAGGGGGCACTGAGGTAGAGGATCTGAAATTCCCGCGGAAACAGTATTTTTAATAGGCAAAGTAGATACTGAACAGTGGCGCTCTCTGATTTAGTGACCCAGAAACTTTTAAACAGCAATCTTCACATTCAACTCTCCAGATGCGGTAGTGCTCGTGGTCGATTGGTTAATGAGCCAGCTTTAATCGTCGCTCTAATACGACGATGTGGGGTGGATTCCAGCTTTACGATAGTTTTTTTTACGAAGCCACGGAGCCCTTACCGGGTTTCCGGGGCTCCGGCTCGAAGTGCAGGAGTAGGAACGGAGTGGTGTTTTAGTCTATAAGAATCTGACATCGCCTTAGCCGGGCGGGAGAAGTCATTGGATGACTTTCCCCGCAAAAACAATCTCTCCAGATGCTAAGCGTCGGTGATTGTGACAAACCCTCTTATGTACATTTATGAGATTCGAAGCCACTTTTTGGAACGAGTACCCAGCTTTAATGACGGACAGACTGACAGACTATTATTTATTTTGTACTAGCTACCCGCCCCGGCTTCGCACTTGTGCAATATGCATGTATTATACATATACCTCTAAAGCTTCCTTATAAGATTCACTCTATCGATTTAAAATAACTGCATCAAAATCCGTTGCGTAGTTTTAAAGATCTAAGTATACATAGGCACAGACAGACGGGCGGCGGATAGCGACTCTGTTTTATACTATGTAGTGATTTGTTGACTTTTCAAAAGTACCAAATTATGGTTTAATTATTGTATGTTGTTTAATAACTAAAAGCTTTTGAGTTTAAGTTGGCGGACCAGCATTGGACTAAGAGCTGATGATATAATAGTGCGAATAATGTTAAAAAAACAATATGTTTATTTATTAAAAAAACACAAAAAAAAATAAGTACAAATTGTTTTTTTGCTAACGATTTGTATAACATACACTTTCGCGGGCTTCCGTCGCCATTTTGTAATTAAAATGTCACTTTATTATTGACGTATGTAAGATGGCGCCGACGTGTCCTCAGAGCGTTTACTTCATAATTAAAATCCCGTGTGACACCTGCGAAGTGGCGAATTTGTTTGTACGTTTAGATGAAGTAAGTAGCTAGTAGCTAGCTGTTTAATTCATAAGTTAAAACCCATTACGTATGACTTTTATAAACTTCTGCGATTACACGATTGACTTAGCCAGAGCCGTAGCCTAAGGCTAACTAGGCACGCACCTAGGGCGCCAGGCTATATACAGGCACCGCAAGACGCGTGTACTCAACTGCCCACAGATTGGCGGCGGCGCGCCGTATGCACGGGTCTGGCTCTGGACGGGCGGCGAGCTAACCTTGCGAGCTAAGCCCGAAGTGTCTTCCGCGACGGCTGGGGCGTGAGGAGGTTTTTTCCCTCATGCGTCCCGCCTGCCTCCTCTTTAGCAAGCATAGCGCTCTGTAGGTTTAGGGCTCGTACACAAAACTGCGATGCACGTCGCATCGCAAAATGTGCGAGCTCCCTCTACGCATCGCAAGAACTTGCGAATTGATTCGCATCGCGCATCAAAATCTTATCTTCCCAAAATCTTCTTTGTTTCTTTTTCCTGTAACTCCTAAGCAATAACAGAAGTGCAGACTTCTTTTTACGATCCAGATCACGACCTAGTTTTCAATTTAAAATACGTTTAGTACGGTTGACGGTCGTCGAAGGAATGGTCACCCTGGGAGACGCCTTGTCGCACGAAATCGCATCGCATCGCAGTTTAGTGTACGAGCCTAAGGGCTCGTACACTAAACTGGAACCGGATTAAGATCCGGAGTGGCTGGGAAACCTGCTGCTGTGCTACATACCGTGGGTTCACCGTCGCCGCCGTTTCCTGTTAGGAACAATATTATATATGGTTACTGCGGTTCTGGGGTCTACTTACAACGTTATAAAAAAATTACCCTCCCCAATCTCTCCAATCCTCGAAACCCCAATAATCCGCAAATTCCATTTCCCGGATTAAAAGGCCGGTAACGCACTTGTAAGACCTCTGGTGTTCCAGGTGTCCATGGGCGACGCTGATTGCTTACCATCAGGTGATCCGTCTGCTCGTTTACGGGCTTATCGCATAAAAAAGCGAGCTAAGAATAAGGAAGTAAGACGCAACTAACCCACTTTACTATCATAAAATGTATTACAATAATGGAGGATTTCGAATTAATATTTAGTTCTGGCACCGTCGCCGCTATTGGCACATTAAACCACCTATATTTATTCAGCTATGACGTCAAAACTGTACCCACATATTAAACTGGGGTTTGCCCATGACTACGTCTGTATTTTGGCCTTTTGAAAATAGGTTTTTGGCAGAATACCTATTTGGTATATATACATTTATCATTCTACTCTACTCACAAATTTCGTTAGGGCCGCCTAAGAAACTATTACACATTTGCCAGAGACCGGGTACTAGAGGTCTGTGATAAACTCACTTAAACTTTAACTACTTCATCCTTGATCTCCTACCGATATATCGACCGGAGTGATAGCAAGTTCTCAGATGAAACCGGCATAAAGCAATATGCTTTGTATCTCTACGGAGTCACGGAAGGTCCAATCAAATGCCTTCCTCGAATCTCGAAACCCTACAAGGCCAGCAACGCACGTGTTACTTGTAACGGTGTTTCGGGATGGCCATGGGTGGCGACGATTGCTTACCATCAGGTAATCCATAGGAAACCTGCGGAAAGAGTAGGATCATCGTCATCATCATCAACGGCCTGTTCTCGTCCACTGTCGGACATAGGCCTCTGCAATGGCAAGCCACTGAGCTCGCTCGATCTTCAGCTCTACGCATCCAACCACTGCCAGCCACTAGACGCGATCTCCACTCCAGAACACGTCTACCCCAACGATCTACGGTTCTTCGACAATTGTGACCGGCCCACTGCCATTTCAGTTCGCTAATCACCTCGATATCCTATTCTTCAGAGATACTCCGAGCATAGCTCGCTGTGCCACCTTAAATTGGTGGACCAGTCGTACTGTTAGTGTCCACGTTTCGGCTCCGTATGTCATTACTGGTAGGATGCACTCGTTGAAGACTTTTGTCTTCAGGCTTTGCGGTAGAGTTGAGGAAAATGTTCCATAAGCAACCTATTCACCTATTCTCCGCGCGCGCCTCAAAGAGCCATCAGACCACCACGGATGGGTCCCAATAGAGCTGATGCCGATTCGGAATCGCGGAGAACCTAACGGGTTACCGGGGTTCCGGCTTGAAGCGCAGGACGGAGTGGTTTTTAGTCAGTAAGAGTCTGACACTCCCTTCCGCTTCATCCAGGCGGGAGAAGTCATATGATGATATTCCCCCCTTAAAAAAATTCACCTATTCTACTATAGCGTCTCCACTGACTGCTTTCTTAAACTTTATAGGTCCTTACTTATTATTATTTTAATAATAAATTTAAACTACTTTTCCAATCTTCCATACTTGGCTATCCGCCATATTCCAACGTTATGCGGTTGGCAATATTATCCATGTATTACTATTACCTACTTAAAGTTGCCATTACACAAAATATATTACGGTTTTATTATACGCCATATTTAATGTTGCTTTAAATGTTTCGTAGGTAAGGGTTTAGTTCATTTTTCTAGACACCTAGTGGACCTGCAAAACTTATTTGGCTTTGAATAGATTACTGCGCACCTTTTTTTACTTTTTTTTCTTACATAAAAACGTCTCCTATCAATTTCAAACCTAATAAAATAGAATTATTGAAATCGGTTCAGCTGTTTTCGTGATTTGCGCATAATGACACATTTTTGAATTCATTTTTATTTTATAGATTGTTGTGTGCTCCATAATAGTACGAAACGTGTAGTCATTGTGCAACGTATCATGGCTTCGATTCCTACACGGAACAATTATTTGTAAAACAAGTGAATTTATTTCCGCAAATAGACCACAAGACAGCACTTTTACACGTCAATTTTATCAAGCGAACGATGAGGCCGACATTTCCTAACTGACTACTCTGAGAAGAAATGCCGAAACAAACTCAGAGGTCCGTCTCTTTGTGATCTTGAGCCCCATGTTTTGAACTGAGATCCTGTAATATCGAATTTCTTAGACCCCATAAGGTTCGAACTCCCAAAACGACCCAAGCTGCGGTCAATATGGTTCCTTCATAATAAATAACGTGTGTAACATTGCCCTCATCCTCGAGAGGATTGAGCAGAGGTATTATGGACAAACTTACGTCTGTTCGAATGATCTGACAATAAAATGTTGTATTTTATGAGTTTGGGTACAGTCCCTTTAGTATTTTTGGATGGTTGTGGATACCTGGTTTCTTTTAACAGATGGCCGTACAGTGTACATTTGCAAAGTGGCTGGTCCGGCTGCTTCATAGGTTAAAAGGTTCAGGTCTATCAGAGAGCGGTGCTGCACTAGTCTGTGTTATTGTGTAGTCCTTTCGTCGCCAAGGGAAGAGTAGAGGAAGCTTCACTGACGGACAGACTGACAGACTATTATTTATTCTATATTTGTTGACGTTTCAAAAGTACCAAATTATGGTTTAATTGAAATAAATGCTTTTGAGTTTGAGTTTGAAGAGGTGGTGATATTTTTTGATCACAGAACACTGCTGCCATGTCAGTGTCAAATGTATCCTGCTAGGCTATTCTGCAACTGTCAATTCGAACTTTCAAAGTGAGCTCGATCCCATTCTCGCCCGTCATTGGTCGAGATTATTCTCACTACCAATGAAATGGCGGACCGCGATCGAGCTCATTCGATTTTTCGAATCGAAAGTTATAAAATAGCTGGTAGCTATAGTTGGCTCTTAAGTTACCCACGGCAAGATAAGTGGTGGTAAATTGTATTGTTATACTGATACTTATTTAATAATACTTTAATTTCTGTTTCAGTTTTGCTGATGTCCTGGTTTGGGGTGGATCAAGTGAAGTCCAACTCGTGTATTCGAACCGGTAATATGTCGATAGACTGCCGGCCTGGTGGCCATGTGACCAGTGTTGTGTACCATAGTGTACCCGTTGTTAGTTCTGTGTCGTGTCCACAGGTGTTGAAATATCGATATTTCATGTCACATCACTATTATGTTTAATTTATTTTGTTCAATGAAAAGTTTATGGTTTTCAAGTAAAGAAAGTTCAAGTCTTCGAGGTTCGAACGTTAAAATTAAATTTTATTAATAGCGAAAAAATATTGTGGTTATTTTTTATTAAATTATTTATTTTGTGTAAATTGCCAAGTCGGTATTAGCTGTACCTACATTGCGACGTATAAATAATATTTGCTGTTTGGGAAAAGAAAAAATAATTGCAACGCTGAATTTTTTTTGTCACCCCTTGACGTACAGTTGACATGCAACGTGAACGACTAGTGATTGGAAATTATCGATATTTTCGCACCTCGATAAATGTATTGTGTTTGAGTGCCCACGGGAATGCGTGTTTAAATGTTGGAATTGAGGAATGCAATAATTGCATGTCATAATTATTTTTAGTCACAAATCTAGACGAATTAATAAATATTAAAATTTTAAATTTAACAAAAAATACACTCAAGCATTCTCCTTTCCTGTGAATAACTGATTATTAAATTTATTTATTTTTCAATTGAAATCAAAGATGGCTGCTAGACAATGTTGTCAAAAATGACAAGCAACTTTATTTTTTTTATTCATGCCAACCAGTCTATGGACTTGAAAAGCATTTTTTTTTTGTTTTGTTTTCTTTTTGTTTTTATTCAGTTATTTACAGGATAAACAAATCTTTTTACTGTGTAACTTCTTCTATTTAGATAACTGTGTAGTGTTTTTTTGTTTTTCTTATATATTTTTTCTTTTTTACTAATTCAAGCATGGATTTTCAGCATTATGGGCTCTAAGTCTGAGCCCCCTTGTACAAGCCGAATGCCAGAGTAAGTACTAATGATTTTTTTATTTTATTTTTTACTAAGAAAAAGATATATCATGAGCTTTTAGGCTTTTACAGAAATAAAATAAAAAAGCTAATAAAAGCTACATACGCGCCAGCTTCGATGCTTACATAAAAATCGATAAAAAAAGTGTATTTTTTTTCACAAATACAATATTTATTATTGTCTTAGACTGGATTGGCTAAAAATTGAGCAGAATTTGTTGATATTCAGTAAAATCATAAGTAATGTAAGTTTTCAGCTTTTTTGTTTTATTTTCGTTTTCTATTTTTTTTGTTCAAAATTAAAAAATGGCAATAAGTAACATTAACAGCTAATCATTTTAATTAAATTAAAATAAAATTTAAGTAAATAATTAATTAGAAAATATTAAATTCTTATTTTTTTCTTTTGTAGTTGTATGAGTGTAAGTAGTATCTGTATGCTTTTAATGTTTTTTTCTGTGTTTTTAATGCATTAAACATTTCTATCTTTCCATGGAATTCCAAATTAGATTCTTCATTTCTGTATAATAACTATATTAGTTGGAAATTTAATTCGGTTCAATGCGCAAAAAAATTTTGACAAAGTAGTATTTTTTTAGGAATTGTTCTTTTTAGTATTATCATATTGAAGTATGTATATACGCTGTTACCTCAGGTGTTCCACAGGGTTCTCATCTTGGTCCCTGGCTATTTAACTTATTCATTAATGATATTGTTTCTTGTATTAGACACAGTAGTGCTTATCTTTTTGCAGATGACCTAAAGATATGCAAAACTTTGATTGAACACACAGACAGGAACTTACTTCAAGCAGATCTCGATGCCATAACCACCTGGTGCAGTGTAAACAGAATGTCTTTGAATATAAACAAGTGCTACACAGTTACTTTCACGCGTAGCCACAACATGATACAGAGTCAATACCTCGTCGATGGAACTACATTGCAGCGGAAAGCTGAGATGAGGGACTTGGGCGTGATCTTCGATTCGAAGTTGACGTTCTTGCCACACATTGACAGTATTATTAATAAATCGTCAAAGATGCTGGGATTTATTATACGTAACAGCAAACTATTTCGCAGCCCAACCACTAAAATTACTTTATATAACAGCTATGTGCGAAGTCAACTGGAATATTGCTCGGTGGTTTGGTCGCCTCAGTATAATGTGCATCAAGTTAGAGTTGAACGCATACAGAAACGTTTCCTAAGACACCTAACATTTGCCAGTGGGCTGCACAAAAGCTTGGTATCGTATAGCGAAAGACTGAGACATTTCAGGATGGACCGCTTGACTGTTCGTAGAAAACTGCTTGACATAACGTTCATGTACAAGGTACTAAGAAACGAGTTTGACTGTCCGCCACTATTAGGCTTGTTCAATTTGCGTGTACCTCGACGTGTGCCTAGGCGCGCACTAATTAATGCGGGTTTACTACACCAGCCATCTGCCAGAACCAACCTAAAGAGGTTCTCCACCATTTCTCGTCTTTCTAGAGCCTATAACTCTGTCTGTGAGAGGGTTGATTTGTTTAGTGATAGATTGCCAAAATTCAAAAAAGCTGTTCTGGGATTGTTGAGAGATGAAGCTTAGTGTTGTGGTGTGCTGTTGACTTGTTTTATTATGTTGCTGTTGACTTGATTTGTTCCGCAACCGATTTTATCTATTTATTTTAATGTTATTTTTTTGTTATTGAGCTTTTAATGACTGTGTCCTTTGTTTTGATCTTTGATTATTCTTTTGTTTTGTATTTATATTTTTGTATTCAGGGTTGACTATTGTATAATGAGTGATAACAAAAGTTGTTACTAATTATATAATTCTTATTTATTGTAAATTTGGTAATGTAGAGAAATTAGATAAATTTTAATTTAATTGATATAGTGTTCTCGACTCAACGCATGCTGTGATGTCCTTCAAATGTTGTGCATTAGCAGTAAGATGTTAATTCCTAATTTTAAGTTAATGATAAAAATGTAGCAACAACTGGATGTCCAAATAAATAAATAAATAAATATAGCCATTTGGAAATTATTACAAATTGAATCGAACTATCCAACAGATGTTTAGTAGAGGCTTTAAAAATACATAATTATGTAGCATTCACTAGATGTTTTCAAAAACTAAAAGTCCTGTCTAAATCCATTCGGAAAATACTTCAAGAACAGTTTTTTCTTGGAAAATTACTTGGAAAGTTTCTTTCATATTTTTTACCAGTTGAAGGTTTCCAAATGGTTGGACAGGTGTGATTCGGTATATGTTAGACAGTTTTCAAAATAAAACTGTTTTAACATCAAAAGCCGATGTTTGTTTTTGTATTTTTGGTGTACTATATAGATCTAGTTCAACGGTAAGTATGAATCACTTATTTAAACCAATACCATGTTGCCAATTGAGTTCACATCAATCTGAAGTATTCTGTAGACATATTTTACAATAAACCTTAATACATATGATACATTGTGCAAAAAAAATAGCCTTACGTTGATGAATGGACATAATTTTAACCAAGATTACTTTTTTTTTTTTTAGTCATTAATAGTCTGACATTCCTTCTCGCCTAACCCAAGGTGGGAGAAGACATAGGATGATTTTCCACCATCAAAAATAAATAATATTTAGCAGTTAATTTGGTAACTACTTCAATCATTAAAAACAGACGACCTGACAAACAGAAATTCATTTAAAACAATATCAAAATCCGCACATCCCACAGACATGACATATTTATAAATTCGTGTAATAACAACGACTTTATTTCAATCCTACCTTCATACGTTCTATTTAATAGGTGTAGTTTTGATGTATGTCTGTTTGTCAATTTAATTGCGCCAGAACAACTGAAAAAATTTAAATAGAATTCAGTCGAAGAGATAGAATTAAAGGTTGTAGAAGTAGAAGACAGTTGTAAAAATCTGTGAGTCTGCAAAAATTTGTTTAAACAAGTTCACTTTACCAGAATTTTTCAAGTGTGGGAGAATGCTCCGGCACGAATGGGCCGGCTCGACCGGAGATCAGGGCCTCACAGAAGACTGACGCCGACGTTGCGTTGTGCTTCGTCATATGAGTGAGGTTACCGGAGGTCCAATTACTCCCCCCCATACCCCAACAATTCTCAAATTCCTAATCCAAAAAGGCCGGTAATGTACTTGTAACGCCTCTTGTGTGATTGCTTACCATCAGGTGAGGTTTATCCAATAAAAAAAAATAAGTGCAGTTGCTCGATTTCTATCAAATTTGCCTTTAGTCGGCTCTTATGAAAGCTCTCACCTTAGAAAAGAGTAAGGGCATTGTTAAATTTAATGTAAATACACTATTGTCGCCACACAGATTTTCTTTACATAAAATTAATTGAAAAAAATACAATTTAAACACAGCCAAACTCATAAGCTCAACTAGTATACACATAAACGTACAATATAAAAGAAATAATGGGTCGAAGTTATGACGGAATCCAGTCGAAGACGATTCATCTAAAATAAACTAGGTACCTACGTTCCATAGTTCCATGTTGCTAAAACAGTCGCCGCGACGTCCCGACGTAGATACGGCGACGTGTGAATTAAATAGTTAAAATTAGATTTCAAATTAATGATGTTCTTCCAAACGTTGTTTAGATGTTTGACTTACACCGTTTTGAAGATTTGCCTTTGATTTTTTGATAAATATTGAGTGTTAAAGGTTTGAACTTTGTAAATAAACTGACTGTGGTGTCAAAGTATGAAAGAAAATTGTTTAAAAACGTTATTGATAGTTTTTAGTTAGGTAATGAGAAAAAAACCAGAGATGTCATAATTTCTGCCTCTTCCTGCCTCGTTGGCTGAATTATTACTTTGTTATTTAAACAATTCTCAGTAGTAGCACGGAGTCTGGAATTGCGTCCGGTATATATATGGCAATAGACTCATTCCCTAATACATAGGACTCATTACATAAATAGTGAAATGAGGATGTTACATTGTATAGTGGCATTAAGTGCCTTAATGTGCCTACTCCTTCGGGGATAAAAGGTGTGACGTTATATTATGTTGTGACAATTTCTAGGCAAAAAAATTCTAGTTAAATTATTATTTTTACATTGACAATCCGTAGTTGTATTTCCACATACAAACACATTTCTTTTAATTTATACTAGCGACCCGCCCCGGCTTCGCACGGGTGCAATATGCATGTATTATACACACAAACCTTCCTTAAGAATCACTCTATCTATTAAAAAAAACCGCATCAAAATCCGTTGCGTAGTTTTAAAGATCTAAGCATACATACGGACATACAGCGAAAGCGACTTTGTTTTATACTATGTATTGATATCTTCTTGATTTTCATAAGGAGATTTGATAGTTCTTACAAAAATGTCTAAGAATTTATAAAGATAAACGAAACATAGATGACTCAAAATTCCTTTCGACAAAATAATAATAAAATGTATTTATCGATAAACCAATTTGAGATGTGGTTACATCACTAATCTCGCTAATGACACACATGTAGGGTTGCGCCGCAAATATCATAATACAATTAGTTTTATCGATTGTTCGTCTATAGTCTTATCCCAAAGACAACAAAAATTACATTACAGTCGATTTTAGGATTAATTAATAATGTCGCCTGGACAGTCAACCTCGCTACGTCCTTGTTGACTGGACATCTACACTACATGAGCTGCTGTTTACATGTGAACATTAGCTCATGACGATACCTAAGTACATGTGTCGCCTGGACAGTCAACCTCGCTACATCCTTGTTGACTGGACATCTACACTACATGAGCTGCTGTTTACATGTGAACATTAGCTCATGACGATACCTAAGTACGTGTGTCGCCTGGACAGTCAACCTCGCTACATCCTTGCTCGCTTCATAAAGAAGGGGACTCCTTAATGACACGGGAATTAATGAAAACACATTCTTTGCGTGACGTACGAGGCGATGAATGACGCGTGAGACACGTAAAAGTGACGTATCGCATGCTTAATTAACGTAAGGGGTTACTTC